TCCCCCCCCCCCCCCACCCCCAAAAAAAAAAAAAATACGGATGCAAGATAAAATGTTTATTTCAATAGAAACATCAACATCTGATATGTACAATAGGGCTGGTCCTATGATTGTCGGGGTCCGAGACGAAGTTCAAAAATTAGGCTCCTAAAATCAACATAAATGTAAAATTTAACGATATATTATGCAATATATTGTTAACTTACAACTTAAGATTAAAACAACAAACAAATATCTCAATCATCTCATAATTAATGAAAAAATTATTTTCCTTTACCTTTTCCTTCTTTTAATATTTTGAAAAAAAAAATAAAATATTCTTTTGGCCAAAATAGGCCCTTCGTGATTTTGGGCCTGAGGCACGGCAAATGGACCGGCCCTGATGTACAGGAACAACATTAAACATCTATACAGAATATCAACTTAATGCATCTATGTTTTCCTTTTTTTCATGTAGTATAATCGATATAATAAGGAATAAGCCTGTAAAAGCTGCCCGAAAGGACCAAAAGATGCTAGTAAAACTCGTCATCCGGAGAAAATCTTTCTAGTTGCAACTGGAACAATTGACAGATTATCTAGAAGGGAAAATGTGTGTGTGTGTGTGTGAATATTACACATCAAATTTTTTGATCTTCATTGAGATGACAAAAATACCAATCTTATAAATCCCTTGTCAAAAATTTCACACGGAGAAAATCTGTCCCACATTTAAAAGGCTTTCATGTGGAACATTAAAAATTACACTGTTTTCCCTGCATATCTTTCTAAGAAATGCATATATATAATCAATGGCAATTTTCTTATGAATCCCAGAATCTCTCCTTGCCCTAATCACTGTGTTCCCAAGTATATGCACCACTCCGGTATCTCTGCAACTGCTTAAAAACTCCAACTCATCGACTTCTGTTTGGCTGCTTTCTCGCCCTGATGATGGGATCGTGTTGTTAGCATGCAGTGGAGATTTTGCAGGCACGATTGAGTCCACTGTTGAGATTGTGAGGTCAATATCAGAGGAAGAAGTGTGAGCATTATCTTTCAGCAAGAAGTCTCTTGACCGCTGCGTTCGCTGTCCATATAAGCTGTACTCTTCTGAATCAGAACACCCTTCCATCATAGCTTCCAGCCGAACAAAAGTGAAGAGATTTTCGAGGATCTTTTTTTCAAACTCATCGTCTTTTTTGTGAAGGTCTTTGTAACCATACCTTGCAACACAACGGAACATGTGAAAGTTCTTTGGGCCTATTCGTTTCACAAGAAACCTCTCTTCTTCGGAAACGGTGTACACTGGAAGGTACTTCACACACACAAAGACTACAACTGAATGTATAGCCGGTAGGTTTGTGATGAAGTGTGAAAAAATATGCGGTACCCCACTTGCTAGCTCCGTGTACACGAGTCCTATCCCTGGCACTCGGACCAGCCCTAAGCTGGGACCTAGCCCTAGAATCCAAGCCATGGAGACTTTACTATGCATCTCGAATTCGTATCTCTTGACTGTACCGTAGTGCCAGACATACATGATGACAAGAAAGGCAGCAGCAATCACAAGGGGAACCCAACCACCTTGATCGACCTTGAACAGCACTGCTGAGAAGTATGCACACTCCACCGCCAGCGATAAGCCAGTGAAAATCAGGACAAGAATCCAATGACAATGCCAAACGAGTAACATTATTAACGTCATGAGAAGGGTGGTCACGAGCATGACTTTCACAACTGCGGTACCTGTTGTCGTGTGAGAGGGCATTTTCAATTAGCTATATTAACCAATATTTATATGACACACGTGGCAATACATGGGCCCACAACCTTTGGCTTTGCAATCTTTGAGCCTCTGACCCGATCTGACTCGTAGTTATAATGGATATGCTGAACTAACCATGGCATAGTCCTAATCCTTGAACAGCACTGCTGAGAAGTATGCACACTCCACCGCCAGCGATAAGCCAGTGAAAATCAGGACAAGAATCCAATGACAATGCCAAACGAGTAACATTATTAACGTCATGAGAAGGGTGGTCACGAGCATGACTTTCACAACTGCGGTACCTGTTGTCGTGTGAGAGGGCATTTTCAATTAGCTATATTAACCAATATTTATATGACACACGTGGCAAGACATGGGCCCACAACTTTTGGCTTTGCATTCATCTTTGAGCCTCTGACCCGATCAGACTCGTAGTTATAATGGATATGCTGAACTAACCATGGCATAGTCCTAATCAAACATAAACTACCAGTGTCGACAAATTGTGACATGATAGAGACACCTAAAAGACACTAGCCCCTGTTTGAGCCCCATTCTTTTAAAAAAATACATTCTTAAATAGTGTTTTGACATCATTTCAACCACACATTTTTCAATAAAATAATATTACACGTAAATCCAAAACTTTTTCTTATTTTTTAACCATACATTTAATATCCTATTCAAAAATTCATTTTTATCAAAAGATGGGCTCAAACAAGGATAGAAAACTGAGGTGGTGGTGACATCTAACCTACCCCCACCCTCACCAAACAGTCCATATTTTCTCTACATGTACGTATTTCTTTCCCATTATAAGGTATGCAATATCAAAACCCAAGCCATAATTGTCTTCTTATTTCTCTCAAACCCGATATTCTAGCATTTGATTTGGCTGTCGGAGTGCAAACAGTCAGCGGACCACCCCTTGGTATGTCGGCCTAGCATTCTGTCCTAGTATGCAGGTAACAGGGTGGACAGAAAGGTGGCAAGGAACCTGTTGACAGCTAAGTCGAGCAGATTTGGAGGTCAACAGGCTAGGCAACTTGCTGGATGCAATACAGGACAACCTTGTGGTAACTGTTGCTGCTTCAAACGAGATTCAAACAATGCTGAGCTAGAAGAACCTCAGTTTTCAGGGGGGAAATAGCATTCGTATGTGAAGACACAGTGTGAAAGTAATTTCAAGAAAAGCTCCTTAATAATAGTAGGATCCTAGGGGAAAGCTCTTAAAACCAAAAACAATACCAGATACTGAAGGCTTAAAACTGGAAAACTTACCATAAGCATTGCCAATTTGGCTTTGATTTCTGAATCCAGCAGTGACTGTGATGCAAAGAATCATAAGGATCCAATTCATATCGGGAATATATATCTGTCCGAGGAACTTCTTTGATGTATGTACAACTTTGACTCTCGGAAAACAGCCAAGTGCAAGGGCCTGCTTGATTATTGAAAAAGTAGCTGATATGGTGGCCTGGCTAGCCACAACAGCAGCTAGTGTTGCAATAATGAACATTGGCCAGTATATGCCATCTGCAAATTAAAAGCTTATTTCTATCAGAGTTGCAACAATGTGGTGGTCTTGGCATCTTCAACTAGATAATATTGATCAGCAAGAACCGTATGGTGTTGATGAAGGAAGCTTTTAAATCAAGATTTAGTACTCAACTGTCAACACTTAAGAAAGATTATTGGAAACATTTAGATTGAGATTTGAGATTTCCCATAGTTTGATTATTTCCACCACGGAAAAAGGATCAATCAAATGTAAAAATGCTCCATTTCAATTTGCAGCACTATTGGTTGATTCAGAAAGACTGTCTAACCTTAAATATTTGCCAAAACCACACATAATGCTTCCCGGTAAACCTCAAGTCTTGATAAAAATCCATATTAGAACTCAAAACTGATCACAAAGCAATTTTTAGGCTTGCTAGAAATAAAAAAATTGGGGGCTCAGGCAAACCTGGTATAGAACGATAAAATGCATCAATGACATGATCCTTATTTTGCGTGAGGTAGGCTGCTTGTCCAGAATAGGCTAAAAGAAGGCAAGGAAACACAACTACTGTGAAAGCTAGCTGTACAGCCGAAACAGGAAAGTGAGCAAGATCAGCAAAAAGCGCTTCTATCCCTGTAAATATTAGTGAGAAGTAATCAGAATCTGATAATACTTGCTTCCGGGTGATTTAAAAATTTACTGAAGAGTTTCAGGAACCCCTTCAGAAGACACAAGTCGAGGAGGGGGGTTTTGGGGGTGTGGGGGGAGGGGGAGAGAGAGAGAGACCTGTGATACTGAGCATGATTCCTCCGAGAGAGGTCCAACCAGCTTTTCCTCCTCTTTTGAAGTATCGATATATATAAACAGGTGAAAAGGCTTTCAGAACAGAACTATCATATTTGCATATGTTGAAGATGCCAATACCTCCAATTAAGAGAAACCAAAGCAGCACAATCGGTGCAAACAGCCAACCAACTTTATCCGTACCATAGTGTTGCATACTAAATAAACCTACTAATATGACTACAGCAACAATTACAACAACATCTGCAGCAAATGATACAAACTTAGTCTTGCATTGAAAGATCACAAACAATTAGAATGGTGACTATTCCAGAAAGAAATATAGGCATTATTAGTTATAGGAGTAGATAAGTACCATTACTCATCTTCGGATGGTCCAACTTAATCCCACCAGAAGCTGAGAGAACTGAGGAAAAATTTTGGGTAAAATTACATAGCAATGAATAAGGACGATTGAAACATCAGACTACTACAATAACTCATTCACTAGGAAACAGGGAAACAAAACTAAGCCAGCCCGGAAAATCACTCCAATTCTATATCACTTGATTTCCAGAGTATAAGGATGTAATGAATTTGATTTTGGATACATGGATTACTTAAGCCATAGATGAGCAAGAGAACTGGGTAAATTATGCATCATTCTATTCACACTACTACTACTTTGTGATCCCCACTGTGGGCTCTAAAATCATGCATCAGCTTGTGCCCAGTCACATATGCATTTATTACAATGAAATATTTACAAAGCTTCCAATTAAAATATTAATGTGGCATGACTCAAACTTCCTCTTAGGAATTTTACTTTTATGTCAATAAGCAAGCAATGAACAATCAAAATCCCAATTGCTGGGGGTGGAGGGTGGCAGCAAACTACCACATGAACAGCCCCCTTTTTTCACTCATATCAAGACCTATACAAATATGCTCATTTTAACCTGATCTGAGCATCCAGCGTTACAAGAACAACTAAATTGATGGTGGTTGATAACCTACAGTCAAAATTCCAATTGCTAGTCAAAATTCCAATTGCTGAAAAAGACTATCATCTTGTGCTAAAGAACCCAAAAAGTTTCAGACATGTTGGCAACATGTGTTGTGATTTCAAATTAGTTTGTCGTCCAAATTAGAAACTAAAGATTCTGGTGTATTCAATTTATGCTGCTGGGACCACAAAGCTTGAATCCTATAAATAGATCCAAAATCAGAAATTAGTGTTAGCTTTTTGCAATCGCTTGAGATATTGGCATCTGTTGCCATCGTTGGAGAAAATGGACAAAATTTATCAGTTCTCTTTGGTTCCTTTTTGAAGGGAAGACCTGTAAACAAATTTCATCTATTGCCACATGCATCAATGAGAAAAGAAAATGTGGCATTGTTTACATATTGCCTTCAATCTGAAGTAAGAAGCATCTCGTAAACTACAATCTCCAACTACATACACAGGACTGCCTCCAATGAAGGCATACATGTTTCCGTGCAATACAAGTCAGCTGGAAAATTAACATGAAAATGTACAAGCATGACTAAAGGAAACAATAGGTGAAAGACATAAATTACCTGATATAGCAGGAGTGAGAATTCCATCCCCAACAACCATGCAAGTGCCAACAAGTACTAGTATAAGAAGGGCATTCTTTCTAAATGTATTCGCCTCCAGCCATCTCTTGGTTTTAGCCGCAAATGAAAGCTCATGGAATGTGCTACGGCTGTAAGTTGTCAACTCCTCATCTGTACGGTGTTGGTTGGGGATTGTTTTGGCTTTGGCATGTCGACAAAGTAATGAATAAAGTGCAAAGGTGCCCCCTGAATAATGTCCAAAGTGTCAATTTTGTTTTCTTTTTCATCTTTCTATATGCACACCCAGAGACAAAAACGAGTGAAATTTGGAATAATAATTAGAACTCTCAGTCAAACTAATCCAAACTCAGTTTCTTTGACTTTTCAATTACTCTCCAATTTATCTCAACATACATTGTCATCATTTTCAGGGTACTCTTACTGAAGAATATTAACCCCCTGACTTCTAGTTTTTAAGGAAGACAATTAAACCCCCGATTTATTTTTAAGTCATTCAGAATGGCTAACTGAACCAGCTTAACAGCTTCTCACAATTTTATACTCAACCGAGTCATATGACCAATACCAAAATTTGTAGGATGAATATATTGCTTAGAACATGCCGGTGTTTCCCTTTTAGTACCGTATCTTTGAAAGGTAAGGATAATAAATGTGATTATAATGTTAATGAAATGATGCATCCCCAATTTCCACTAATTTATTAGCCTCCTGGCATTCCTTTGTTATGACATATCTTCTCTCAAGTCCCCCCAAATCAACATGGACAGATGGTTCCTGGAAAACATTCCATCATAGGACATATTTGCAGATTACAAGACTTGTGTTCTAATTTAATTCTTTAAGAAAAAAATCTGACAAGAATCTTCCAACAATTCATCAATGATAGACGATCCAAAAAAGTAACTATAACTGGAGGTTCGCAAAAGATTCCAATGATGATATGTCGGAAGTAACAATCTCATAACCTGCTTAAATTGAAATATGCATAAATAATCACAACATTTTGTAGCATGACATCAGCTTACCTTGACCACTGTCATTTGCTCTACACACTATGAAAACGTACTTGAGGAGAGGTATTAGCGTAAGCGAATAGATAATCAATGAAAGAGCACCAATAATATCCTCTGTATCATCTATCCCATTGGGAAAAGTATTGTAGAATACGTACAATGGAGATGTTCCCAAGTCTCCATACACTACTCCCAGACTCTGGAATGCAAGCCGCAACAGAAATATAGACGAGAATTTCTGCATTAACAAAATCAAACTATGAAACATTACATCGAGATCCTCAATAAGATTGCCTCATTAGCTTCTGCCTCACTCTAGGACTAAAGCACATACGGATACCAAAAGAGTATCAAATAGTGCAGTGAAAATATTAGAAACACTATGATAAGCAGTCAATGGGTATACTGCTCGAATTTTTCAACCTGAAGAAAAGTAGAAAATAAAAATTGACTTCTGCTAGTGAATATTTATTTTATTCTGTATCTAGCAGTCACAATGGAACAAATTCAATCAAGCAAAAAATTTTCCCTTTCTATATATGATTCTACATCGTGAATTAAATACAATTAAATGTGACTTGTAAAAACTAGCTAAAGTTTATGTAAATCCAGTGGGGTTATTGCAGAATCATCATGAATTAACAATTTTCCATTGAAGGGAAGGCAATAATTAAAAAGAGCAAAAACGCTTTTAGCTTCTGAAAGTACTTATAATCAATAAGTACCTTTTCTCTATACACGTTTCTAAGACTTCCAGCCTCCTCCTCCATAGGCTGATCAAGCTTCTGGTCCAAAACCCACATGCCTCCCTTAGTTTCATTGCCATCATCGATTTCCAACCCAGATTCCATTTTCTCTTCTTTTTTCAGAATAGCTTATTCAATTGATTCAGATCCAAATCTTGATACATAATCCACCTCCAAAAGTTCAACGTGTCTACAACTCAATTTTCCACACTGAAAACCCAACTCAATCCCACACAATGATTTACTCAACCTAACTTGTTCGATATTCAAGAACCAGAATTGGAAATACAAAAGTTCAAGAGTTCAGTATATGTACATAAAAGATTAGATTTTTAATCCCTATAAAACTAAAACCCCTTTTTCTTTCTGAGTTTCTCGCTTGCTCTCTGAACACAATATTTTGAACTGGTGCTAAGTTTGAGAGAGAAGCACACAGAGAGAGAAAGTTTGCATCTTTTTCTTTCACAATTGCATGCAAGTGTTCAGCTCTTCATCTCTCTATTCTCTTCTCTCTTCTAGCAGCAGCCACAGGGAAGATCTAAAAATACTAAACAAATAGCACTCTAGAGAGGTTGCAATCGATCTTTTATTTCATGTACACGTTTGTTGAATCTAAGGATTGGTAAACGCAATAATGGAATTTTTTAATAAATAATTTAACTTACTTTTTGCATTTTTAATTTGATTATTCTTTTCATAATAACTTATTATTAACAGTTAAATTTAGTGATGGTGATTGGTGAGGTCCCTATTGATTCTTATCTTCCAATGATAAGTATAACTTTCAATGCAGGATTGCTCAAATTAGTATTTTAATAAAGGGTTGTACTACTCGTACATGAAACTTTACATTTCGGTTGACACGGGTCCACCTCTCCTCTCACATGGGGAGGTCGGCCTCACACATTTGGGTGTGGACCCCAACCTCTTCCATGTGAGAGGTCGGGTGAGATCGTGCCAACTGGAGTGTAAACCTCCATGTACAAATAGATTAATTCTTTAATAAAATGACAACTTTGGTGTTATTTATAGGGAGAATTGCGGCTGGTGTCCCAAACTTTTCAATTAGTTGCATAGTATATTCAAACTTTTCATTTTTACAACCATAGTCTCAAACCTTTTTTCTTGATGGCACCTAGAGGACAAATCCGTCAGCAGATTGAAAAATAATAATAATAATAATAATAAATAAAAAATAAAATAAAATTAATAAAAAAATTTACCTATTTTGACCAGTCAAACAAAGGATAAGTTTGTAACTTTATATTTTATCAAATGAAAATAATTAAATCAAAAAATGAAAAAAAAAATTAATAAAGAAAGAAAAGAGAAATATGTACCCCCACCCACATCCCTCTTCATCTTCTATCGCAATCACCCCATCCCCATCCCCATCCCCATCCCAACCTTCAACCAAAATCAGATCAAGCCCACCACTTATCGTTGCCTAGTGCCATTATCTTTACACCCCTACTTCGAACCCTTATCTAAAGTAGAACTATTTTCGTCCCATTTAGGTGTTGTAAGACTTAACATTTGTTCTCAATTGATTAGACATGGGTCGAACAAAAAATTATTTTACCTTTCATCCTTCAAAATTTAAGTTCGACTAATTTTTCCTACTTGACGTCAACAATCGAATCGTAAACTTCGATTCAACACACAATATGCCTATAAGTTGAGGTTGGTTAGTATTTATCCATCAAGGTTTATGAAAATGGTTTCTTTTTTACTCTAACATTAAATGATTAACAATTATTTCAAGTTTTATAAAATATATTTATTAGTGGTATTATCTGGGGAAGGTTTATAAAGTCTAAAATTATTGATAATAATACAATGACTTTGTTTGTCAGTTTAGAATACGAGGGAGCATTGATTGATTGGTCTGCTCTACTTGGTGGAGTCACCATATATTTTGCCGGATTAATCTATTTTGCCGTTGTTCTGCATAATTTATTTTCTTAGTTGTTTGCATTTTATTGAGAGAATGTGTAATTCAAAGTGAGTTTGAAGAAAAATAAATTTTAAAAATAGGATTGATGTGATCAACTATTTAAACAGTAGTGCACTGAACAATAGTATTTTTTTTTTTTTTTAGTTTTTTTAACGAGTGATACTCTGTTTATATTTATAGAACTTCCTGATATCAAAGTGAGACTATATCCATATTTTCTACCCAACAATGCATTCTTTTCTAAGGACGAACACTTCATTGAACAATGAACTTTTCAATTTCATCTTCGACCTATGTTGTCCAAACCTAAGAACGAACAAGTAATGCATTTTCACCTATTGAAAATGGTTCTATGACTGATTCGCTAAGGCGCCATTAAGGTGATCTCATAATTCCTCCGAGTGGAGGTAATGGGGTCAGTTGATATATATATATATATATTTTTAAGGTAATTCATATCATAAAATATTATGAATTTTTTACGTATTTGACTGTTTACTGTCCTCTTTTCTTTTATAAGAATTTGAGATCCATCTTAAAATATATAAAATGAATTATAAGCCTATGATAATAAAAAATTAAAAAGATACAAGAAAACCTGGACAAAAATTTGGGTATTCTCAATTTGAATAAAGCTAAATAGCCCTAATAATTATATTTTCATAAAGCATGAGGAGTTAAGGTCATAAAAAACAATTGAAGAG